AGGGGAGTGGTGGCATCAGGGTGGGACCAGGATACAGAAAACCTTAGAGACAGGAGACCCCTTACATACCCTGGGTGGCAGTAGGCCTTGCCTGGGCCCCCGAAGCAGATGCAGAGTGCCCTGGCCCCTCCCCTGGGCGCGGGTGCAGTGAAGCCAGTGGGCCCAGCGCCCTGTTTCGGGCCCAGGTCTCCTCGGCCTCCACCACCTCCTCTTCTTCCTCAGGCTCCTCAGTGCGGTGCCTGCGAGCCCGGGCTGGGAGAGCAGAGGGCAAGGGGCGAAAGCCTCCAAAGCTGCGGCTAGCCCCAGACTCAGCACCCTCACCATTGGGCCGGGCTTCACCAGCTCGCAGGCTCAGATAGCCCAGGAGGCTTGCAGGCTCACGGCGCTCAGCCGGGGTGGGCGCTGGAGCCAGGAGGAGAGTAGGGCCCAACGGCTCGTAGGCCAGCAGGCCCAGGTCAGGAGGTTGGGGGGCCCGGGCAGGCCCAGAACCAGGCCCCGGGGCACGCAGTGGGCCCAGCTTGCTGGCATGCACCTTCATGTGATTCTTAAGGAACCAGGGCTCCTTGAAGCAACGGCCACAGACGGGACACGCATGATCAAAAGAGGCCTTGTGCTTGCGCATGTGGCCCTTGAGAAACCAGGACTGCGTGAAGCTCTGGCCACACACTTGACAACGGAACTCTGGAGGCGCAGGGGGCTCCTCAGGAGCAGCAGGAGCAGGGGCAGGAGTTGCCTCACGTTCAGGCTCCAGCTCTGGCTCTGGCTCTGGCTCCGGCTCCCGCTCGGGGATTGGTCTGGGTTCAGGTTGGGGTGGAGGCTGGGGCTGGGGGGCAGCAGATGTGGCCGCCAGAGGGCGCTCAGGAGCTCCGTGGGCCGTCAGGCTGTGGTGCAGCAGCTCCTCCTCCTGGCTGGAGCCGAAACTGCATAGGCCGCACTTCCAGGGCCTGTGCAGGATGTGCAGGTGGCGTTCGCGCTCCGCGGCGGTGCGAAACTTGCCTTTGCAGAAGGGGCAACGGAAGGCAGATGTCGAAGGGGCCTGGGGCCGCGCCAGGCCCTCAGTGTCGGGGCTGGCCTGCAGGCCCCCTGAGCTTCGGGCTCTCCCTAACCGGGCCTCGCGCAATAGCGCGCGCTCCTCCAACTCCAGCAACAAGCGTGCGGCGGGGCTGCGCGGGCGCTCGGGCTGGTGCGTGCGCAAGTGCGAGCGCAACAGGGCCCGCTGCGCGGCACGGTGGCCGCAGTGCGGACACTGGAAGGCCTGGGCGCCTGGGTGCGCCCGCAGGTGCAAAGCCAGGATGGAGTTGAAGCGGAAGCGCTTCCCGCACACAGGGCAGGGGAAGCGCCGTTCACCAGCTCGGCTCTCAGACCAGCCCACAGCTCCCATTCCTGCAGACCCTGCGCTCAGGCCTGGCCCGTTGGAATTGGAGTAGCGCTGCAGATCCAGTTCGCCGTCGAAGGCCGGGGGTGACGGCGTTAAGTGGCCGCCCAGGGCGCGGGGACGTGAGCCCTGTAGAGAGAGATGTATATAGAGCAAAGGGTGGGAAAGGAGAGCTGTGTGGGGTAAGAAGGGCATAGAGAGCCATAAGAACCCAAGGGAGGGTGGACTGGGATCTACACCAAGTACACCGGGTACCCTTCCCACTCACCTTAGGGAAGTTGGAGGATGAATGGGAACTGAGCTGCTGGGGCCAGGAAGGTAACTTATGATGACAGGTCAGAAGGAGAGAGAGGTGGGGAGGAGAGGGAGTATAGTTGTCGGTACTTGCATGTTCAGACCAAGCTTCACTCACCTCCATGGACCCCTTTCACATTCTTTGGTTCTGGGGAGTGCAGGGAAGAGGAGGAAAAGCTGCTAATGAAGGCAACAGGTGCTGAAGAGCTAAAGCAAGAGATAGATTTGGAGGAAAAGATAAGTCCTGATTCTCAGCAATGTAAAATAAGTCGCTCCCAACCCCAAACTCCTAGCATCCTGTATTCCTGAAACCTACCCCTTCCCCCTCCTTACATCCTGAGGCAAGAGGGGACTACTGTCCTCGAATTTGTATTCCTTGATTTACCAACCCCCAAGGCTCCCTGAGAAGATAGATTTCCCCCAAATACATTTTAAATGCCTGGTCCAGAACGACTACCACCCCCCCATCACCACCACCCCCTGGTGGTGGGGGAGACCATCACAGTACAGCCCTCTCTCATTTAGACTGGGCTGTGCAGCTGGATGAGCAAATGGGGTGGGCTTGCCATGCTCCACAGCTATTCAAGTGGGACCAGTTGCTCTCAGACACCTAACTGACCAGCCAGCCAAACATCCTTCCAGACTCCACAGCTCTTCCTTTGCTCTTACCCTGTCTTTCCCCCTCATTCTCCCTCCCTCGCCTGGATTCCTGATCCATTCATTTCCATTCATTACAGAGACTCATTCATGCATGGGAGAGAAACACCTCCCAGCAGCAGCAGTCTGGAGACAGACAGAGGGGGAGGGGTACGAAGGGGGAGAGAGCCAGGAGGAGAGGGAATGAAGAGAGAGTTGGGGGAGGAGTAGAAGTTAAGGGGTGCTGCTGGTCTGGGGAAGGGGTTAAAAACTGCAAATACCAGGTAGGATTCATCCCCGTGTTTCAAACCTTGGAGCCTGCAGTTTGATGGGGCATCTCAGCCCCTTTGTCCAAGGCTGTTCCGAAGCAGGCTTTCCTCCTCTCTGCAGGGGAGAGGCTCCCTCACACAAGAGGAGGATTACACTGGCTCTGAGCTCAAGAGGCTGGAGTGAGGGACGGGGGGCGGGGCTGGGCCATCTGCACAGATAGGGGCTCAGCACATGCTCTGGGCAGGAAAGGGTTAAAACTCTCCAGGCTAAAATTCCCTGGGCCTGGGATGTGCAGAGCTCCAGAGCTCCAGCTCTGAGGAAGGAGAAGAACACTGAGAGGAAGGGGACTGGGGGCGGAGGGGGTGGAGGGTTCATGGTCCTAAGCTGCAGAGGAGGTTAGCATTAAGATTTAGAAGCAATCCCAGAATTAAGATTCGTGGAAATAGGCCTGGGAGGATGACCAGAAGTCGGTCAGTATACCTTCCTGCTTACATATAGAATTTTATCTGGTCAAGGTTGGACAAATGTGGACTTAATCAATTTTTTTCACCTGAAATAGAAAGAACATTTGAAATATAAAGAACTTCCTTACAATAGGCATGAAATGGGTTACTAAGAAAGAAAAGGACTCAAGCATTACTTCGCTTAAGGATCTTTAATGGGAGAGAACTGAGAATTGGGCCAGAAGTCAGCCCTGCTTATCAGCAAAGAAAAGCAGCTCTGGAAGTCCAAGTTTCTTTAATTTTTGATATTTACTGGATGTGGTAAGACTCCATGAACAGGCAAGTACCTGTTACATGTAGAATCTGGGTTATGGGAATTTTATTAACAGGAGGTTAATTAAGAAAGTGTCCTTGTCCAAGGGTCACTGAACAATCTCCACCACACTTTTAATATTTGTATTTCTGTAGCTCCAAATTAGGGCATCCACCCTCATCTTCTGGATTCTCCAAATAAAGCCCTTTCCTGGGACCAAGAGCTTAGTCAGCCTCAGTGAGTAGTATCATGAAAGATGTAGAATAGGACTGAGGGGTACAAAGTTATTGTGGGCCCAATCTGACCATTAACAGCCCTGCAACCTTCAGTAAATCATTTAACGTCCCAGTTTACTCATCTGTAAAATAATGGGGTTGGACTAATTTATACTGATGGTCCCTTCCAGGTAGAGAATTTTGTAGTTCTGAGTCACAGGACTCTTCTGGACCCCAGAGAGAAGTTAAAACAAATGGTCATCCCTTCAGTACCATGGAGAGTGCAGTGGGCTACCAGAGGAGCCACTGTGGCCACCTCAGTACCACAGATAGAGCTATGAAGTGCTAGAGGGGCCACATTTGACATTTTAGCACCACAATTAGGGCACTAAGAAAAGCTAGAAGATTTTTTTAAATTCCTCTCTGGGAGCCATTGGGGGGTGGGGGAGAACAGTGGTACCAGAGGGATTATTTTTGCCTTTTGGATGACACTGAAAATAGATAGATGTAACAGAAAATACATGTAACTAGAAGAATTTTAATTAGCTATAAGGAGTGTCCTGACAGTTACAGTTTGTACATCCTGGAATGAGTGAGTGAGGCATCGTATTTGGGTCCATCACATTCTGTTGCTCTCCTGGGGATTCCCAGAACATCCTGGTGTACAGCCAATCTGGTATATTCAGAAGAAGCAGATGGTGGGGGAGGAGGGGAAAGGCTGGGAATACTGCATGGTCATAGCTGACTAACCTATGGGCACATACTGATTCTGAGAAGATTCTAGGGCTCCTGAAACTGCCTGTAGGATAATACACAAAATACTTCAGGGGAAGTTGACCTCATATCTGAGGCAAGTAGAGTAGGAATAGGGCAAAGCTTCCCCCCCCCCCAACCCCAGCAAAAAAAACAACAACACAAAAACCTGCTTTGCACATAGCAGTTTCTAGGACAGAAATACAGTAATATACAAGAAGACGCACATTGAAGCTATATTCCTGAGCAGGTAGTAGGGAAACTTTCCCCAAAGGGTGGCCTTAAATCAATAAAACCCACTTAAGAGACCCTCTAGGCATAATCCAGATCTGAATCACCTCCACACCAAACCAGGTCCCAGCCACCTAATCCCATGAGTTTTTCTCAGTAGGAGAAAGCACTGACAAGACCCAAGATTCTATGAACTAGCTTAGAACCTAGGTCATGCATGTATTGCTTGTGGGCAATAATCAACAGAGTTTTCTACAGTCAGGCCCTAAACACCATTCACTAGACTTGGCCAGACAGTAGCACTGACCTACTTTCCTCCCACACTGGGAATTAGGGGTTATCTTGCCCTTATTTGGGTTCTACAGGGGTGCAAGGCCAGGGATAGGGATCAGAAATCTTCCCAAAGCAACAGACCAATTACTTTTATGTGCTAGGAGAGCTGGTGGAGAAGGGGGTGTGGACCACCAAGCCTTACTGAGTAGGAAAGAATGGAAGGCTTGGTGAGAAGGCTCACAGACACGGACAGGTACCAAGAAATGTCCGCTGACTGGAGGACCATGAAAATTGTCTCTCAAGCCTTGTAGTTCAAAAGTTTTTAGGGTCAAAGTGTAAGGGGCAAAGGTTCAGAACTTCTGAGGTACAATTGTGACTAGGCATCTGTCACTTATCACTTCTAATACTTGATATTTTTCCTGCTGCTGAGAATCCTACACCTCTAACAATCATGATTAACACTGCACTAGATGGGGTTAAAGAAAAGGAGCTTCGTAGGTGGTCTAGAGTCAAGACCACCTTTATCACACAAACATCCCAGTAGTTCATTTTTATAGTCTCCTCTCCATGGCCCTCTGAACCCCACGGTTCAGGTAGCTCCTCCAAACTGATCCCACACCACAGCTTGCCCACCTTCTACACTGAGTTCTTGGTAAACCTCTGTGCCTCCATCCTCACTGCCCTGAGTTGGGGCATGGAATCTCAGTCATGAACTCCAAATACACAGCAGGGGGCAAGAGGAAGGGTACACCTGCTCACCTACGGCCACCCTACGACAGTGAATCTTATTCAAGAGGCATGTCCCAACTTGACCCCTCTTCTGAAAGTTCTAGATTTGGGGGAGGGGGCATATAGTGAGCCCTAAGTCCCCTTAACTGGAACTGACCCTAGAATGGTCAGAGTCTTAGCACCCATACGGGCCTCAGTCCTGGGATTAGGGGGTGGGGGTGGGCAGGAGAGCCTCTGGGAAAATCCACCTCCCACAAGTAGGTTGGCAAGTAGGGCAGGACCTGTGATCCTGCACAAGAGGTTCTTCCAGCGGCACCCCAGACCCCTCCCCGGGAAGATAAGCCAGAAGGATGATGGGGGGCAGGGTTGGAAGACTGGAAGGCCAGGGCTCAGCTACCCAGGCCGGGAGAACAAAAGCTGAGTTGCAGCCGCCTCTGCTGCTGCCGCCGGCCGAGCTCTTTGTGACACTTTGTTTGGGACGCAGAGAGGGAAGCACCCCCCCATCCTCTCCCC